TCAGAGAAAATATTTTTATAAAAATATTCCATGTATAATATTTTAAGAATTTAATTCTTTAATGCGTGACATGGATAATCATATTCACATACTAACATATTTCATATTTTATAATAATATTATATCTTAAAATCTATATACATTATATGTATATATATTATAGACATATTGAAATTCTGAAAATATGACAACAATTATAGTAGAAAATAAGGAAAACAAAATAAGGATTATAATCATATAACGTTAATATGATAGATGATAATATGATAATAATTTCTTTATACTTATAGAGAAAAATGTTGTTTGGTACCATTTTGAGGGTATAACATATTAAGAAAAGGATGTGTATTATGTTAAGCTAAGAAAACAGAAACCGAATTCCATTGAATATAATAAAATATATTTCATATAAATATGATAGAGCTTAAAACAGACACAAGTTATTTAACATACTTAAATACATAATATCTTTTATATTAATACATATATATATATATGGTATCTATGTCTTTATGTATACACAACACACCAATATACCTACATTTATTTGATTAAGTACTTAATTTACTTTTCCCGGAAGTCACATTTCCGTATACGAATATAAGGATTGTATATTATGACAGACATATGTTACAAATGTATCTCATGGAATATGTATAAGTATATAGAGATATTGGTGCTATTATGTCGTTTGACTATTATCTTATTATATATTAAAACAAAAATGAAAATTTTCATATGCCGGGATTAAAATAATAATTCAGTTTCCTTTTCCTTTTATATTAAATATTAAGGACTTTGTTTAAGTAACTTCATATTTTTACATAATATGAAATGGACTTAAGAAGAATCTTTCATTTGTTTGAAAATATATTTATGAATAAAAATTGTCAATTATTTAATGAAATATGTTCATATTTTTTATAAGGATCTGTAAATAAAATTTATTTTATTAATATACTCGTAAAAGGTGAATTTATTTTTGCGTCAAAAAAAGGAATGGCAGTTTATGCAAGTATTTTTATAAATTTTAACACCTGATTTATAACTGTACGTGGGTTATAAATTCAAGAATTTCTATTAAATATAACGCAGCTTATTTAAATATTTATGTCTTGCAGGGGAAATTTACTAATTTCAGTCAGTAAATGACTTATAATCTATATAATATAAATTAAATGAGTTCAATAAGAATTTTAAAGAAGCATTTAATTCCTCTTCTTGGTAGGTAAAACGCTTTTCACATTTTGTGATTTTTGATTTGTTTCTTCTTAATTAAATTTCTTTTTAAATTTATGATAATAATTTTGTTATAATATTAAATGGCAAATTCTCGTTAAAATTAAATTTATAAATTTCGCCTAAAGCTATTTTTCAATAATACTATACTGCAACTTTTAAAATAAGTTCTGTTTTTTCTGAAAATATTAAATAACATATATTGCATACATTCAGGAGAACGTAGAAATTTTTCAATATTTTTTAAATATTCAAAATGAATCTCTTTTTTGAAATTATATGAAACTTAAAAGAATTTATTTAATAAAAGAATATTTTTTCCAAAAGAAAATTTTGTTAGCGCTGCTTGCTTTCAGTGCAATAAATCCAATTAATACTTTTTGCATTAAAGTTTTTCCAAATAAATTAATCTAAATTAAACTAGGGTATCTAAACAGCAATTTTTGACCGATATTATTATTTTGAAATGATTATGAATTTTATTATTTTATGCAAAGTATCTAGTTATTATCAAAGTGCGCTACTTTATACCATCGTATAGGGCCTCATGTGTAGACAAAATTCTTGTATGGAGACAATATTCACAGGTTAACAGATTCGGAGTTACAGGGCCTTAAAGACAATTTCGACTGCTCTTTTTACTTTTTGAAATTTTGAGAGTAACTCCGTGCCTGTGTAAGACAGGCGCATTATTAAATATGATTTAAAAACCACAGCGTAAGGTCTCTTTTGTGAATATCTAAATTAGTTATAATCCGTTCAGATTTGGGAATCACATGACTTTAAAGTTTGAAAAATTAAAAATTTTAATTTTTCATTTTTACAAAAAGTTAATTATCTAGGTAAAGTAACATGGAAGCTTTCTCCAGTTTTAGCATAGCTGGTAACCTCGTCTACTGACCTTGAATTTGGTATTTGAGTCACCTTGCTACCTGCTTTGGTTTAAAATTTATTGAGAAAAATAGAGTGATGCAAATCTTATTTTATATCAATTTTTTTCCTTTAATGACTTAGAAAATAATGTACAACATATTACGGAACCAATTAAAAAATTTTATAAAATTCTTTACTTGACAGACCCAAGATTTATTAATATTTTTCTAGTTAAATTACTTAAAATTTCTAATTATGGCACGAGTTCTCTGACTAAAAATTATTATTGAAACGGCCAATCATTGCCGTGATCTTTTTTTTTTAATTTCTATTTTGTCAAATTTTGTACATATTGTTTTTAACTTTAAATCTATGTTCTTTTCCTTCGTTTTTAACTATATTCATAATATTATTGGGACGTACATATGCATGTAAAAATCTTCAAATCCATTAACACAAATAAACAAATACTATCAAATTTTTTTGAACATATTTTAAGAAAATTAAAATTCTATAACTAATATTTTGTTCCAGTCGCAGCTATGGTTTAAAAATATAAACATTATTAGATTTAGTATTGTTTTTCAAAATGAGATGATTGAAAACCAGTTATGTTTAATTTGTAGATTACAATTTGGAACATCGATATTGGAAAATTTATCATAAGCCATAAAAATATCTTGCATTCAGCAATTTTTTAAATAAAAAATTATTATAGAATTTTCCAAATAAATATAAAATTGCTATAACAATAAATTTTTTAATATTTCATAGGTGAAAAAAAGCCTAGAATAAATGAAATTTTTTTCTTTTGTTTTGTATAATAAATAGCTTTAGGCTTTTTCGAAAACGATTTTCATTCTTTATAGATATAAATTTTCTGTTCTACAGATTATCTTATTTTTCTTTGAATTAAAATTAAAAACATTGAAAGATTTACATAAGAGAGAAGGAAAACACAAAAAAAAACCAAAAATGTCTCATATCCTTCAGCTTTTTTTTTTTTATAAATGAACGCATAATGCACACATTCTGTTCATACAAACGAACGTACAGAAAAATTTTTAACGCTTTTAAAAAGCCGTCGTTTTGTATTAACTTTGTTATGTTTTCATTTCTTTTTTTTTTTTTTTTTGAAAATGATTCTCATTTTATGGAAATGAGAAAAAGCTAAGCGATGAGATAACAAAAAAAAAAAAATAAATAAAAGAAAATCGTCTTAGTGTAAAGCTTTATGTACCAAAAAATTAAATATATTTTCTTCCTTCATTCCTTATTATCCTTTTATGCTATTATTATCCTTATTTGTTTTATTTTTGTATTATTTTTTTTCTATATTTTTCTATATTATATGCTGTATATACAGGGTGCTTCATTTAAAATTAATTAAAATCAAAAATAGCTATAATTTCTTGAGTTTACACATTTTTTTTTTATTTCATTCTTTAGAACAAGATTTTTCTTTAGAACATTCTTTAGAACAATTTTCAGTCCTTTAGATTCTAAGACCTTTAGAATCTTGAACTATAAATGATTGTTTTCCTCTATCTCCTATACAATATAAGATTTTTTAATATTTTGTGACTCAAATTAAAGATTGAGAAAAAATTCTTTAAGAAAAGTTTAGAGGTCTAAAAAAAGAAGAAAAATTTAGATAATTTCCAAAGCTCGAATGCTTGGTTCGAATTCTCGATAAAATACAAAATCAAAGATAAGTTTCTTATAACCCTTGCACTAGTCTTTTTAAACTAGTTTATTTGAAGCTCTTTTTCGCAAGGGAAGTTATAAGCAAAAAAAAAAAATTGGCGAGTAGAAATTTCGTGAAAATTCTTTAAAATTTCGTACCGTTCTGTATTGAATTTAAATCCTGTACCGTTCAGATTTGACACCTAGTTCTACACAAATATTATACTCAATTTTGATACCCTAAATGATATATGTTATGACACTGATTACTGAATCACCCTGTATAATATGTATATTTTTGTAAATATATGACTTTTTATTGTTTGTTTGCTTGTTTGTTTATATTGTTGTTTTTATTGTTGAAATGTGATTTGATTTTAATATTTTTTTTTGTTTGTTGTTTATACAATTATAGTTTTTCTTTTGTTAATATATTTTTTTGATTATTATTTTTATTTGGTTACTTTTTTTTCTTGTTTTTTATCTTGATTCTTGTTTGCTGTTTTTGTTTTTCTTCTTATACTTTTACTTTCATTTATTATTATTATTGTAAATAAAAATCGCTATTTGATTTGAATTTAACTGGCATATTGTTTAGTTTTATTTTATTATTATTTTTATTATTTTTGATTAAGTTTTCATCACAATGGTATTTATTGAAGATATACAGTAGAATCTATGTAAGAGGAAACGATTTTTTTGTGTATTTTTTTTTAATAATACAAGAACAAATTGAAAATTTAATAAAATTTTAATTGCACGAGAATTTTTAAACAAAAAAATTTTCTTTTACTTATAAAGAAGTATAGTAGTTGTTAAAAATCTTTAACTTATATATGAGGGCGAAATGAATATTAATTGAAAGAATAAAATTCATAAAATTATCAGTAAATTACTAAATGTACAAAAATCTAAAGTAATCATTGCTCTTTAAGAAGGAAAAGGGCCAGGAAATTTTTTTTCAATAATAAGATATTTTCTTTTTTTCCGAGTTCTTCTTATTCAATTTCGATAGTATAAAAATATTTTTATTACAATACGCAAATAATAATGTTAAGTTCAATTCAATATTTGTGTGGGTGTGTGTCTATATGTATATAACAATTACCTTATTTTTATTATTGGTATGTAATAATATGTACTTACACAAAAAATTTTAATATTAAAATAATAAAATCATAATAATAAATAATTTAATTTACCTTTTTCTTAATCATTTTCGAGTTTCGAAGGAATATTGCCATTATATTTTTATGGTAATCATGCTTCTTATATATACATATAAATATACTCTAATTTTATGTGAGTTAAATTATAAAAATTGGAAAAAATTTGGAGGTAATTTTGAGAAAAAAAAATTAACAATATTTGATATTATTATTATTGTTATTATTACATTAGAACAATAACTGGAAGGAAAAAAATAAATGAAATTAAATATGGAAATTATTTAGAAATTTTTTTAATAAATTTGAGAAATATGAAAATTTTTCAATAAAATAATTCGTGTTACTATAATAAATATTTTATATTATAAATTAATTTTATTCAAATATTTTAAAAATTCCTGAATTTATTTGCTTCTATTAATATTAAAAACTTGTTTTGCACTTTTCTTCTTAGTTTTATCCGTTTTTCCAATTCTGTTCTTCTAATGCACATTTTATTTTTTAAATTTTAAGACACGGAATAGTTAAAATTATAAAAACAAAAAAATAAAATATGAGTAGAAGAAAAAATACAAAATCCTTTTGTTTTTTGGAATATTTTCTTAGACGTACGGCAATGGGCATAAGTGACAAAATAATGGCAAGAGTGTTCTTTTAAAGTAGTTCGCAGAAAAGAAGAAAATGAATTGTGTATGAAAAAAAAAATTAATTTTTTTTCTTTAATTTTATTTTTTGTCTTATTTGATTGTTTTTATTATCATTTTTGTTTTGTTTGTTGCCACTTTAATGAAAAAAAAATTTTTTTTTATTGTCTCTCTAAGGATAACACAACTTTATTTTTTTTAATTTTACATTTTTTCCATTTTTTTTTTGTCTACTATTATTCTTTTCTTTTGGGTTATTTTTTTTATATTGGGTTTCTACCAACAGATATGACTCAAGTGCATTTTGGTTTTTCGTTTTTTTTTATACTTTGATATTTTCTTACTTTTTTTTTTAATTTTTGTGTAGAGTAAACAACGGCGAATACCAACGACAATGGTTATTAGCACAAAAAACAAAATAATAAAAAAGTAAACGAAAAAAAACAAAAGAATCCAGTGGTTTTCTACTATATTCTTAAAGATATCACAAAAAATATAAAAAAAAGGATAATAAATTGAAGATATGAAATAAAAATTAAACAAAACAAAAAATTAAAAGAAAACGGTTTGAAGTGAAATTCTAACAAAGAAAGATTATTACTGTACGGAATAAATAACTAAAAATAAGAAAAAAGAAAAAATGTATAAAACATTCAAATTTCAGTTAAAATAAATATTGAAAAAAGGAGCAAGGATAAACATTAAAAAGAATGAAAATAAAAAAAATAAAACTCAATAAACTGAAAATGAAGAGAGAAACAAAGGAATTTCAAAACGAGGTTAAAAGGTTACGGTTTGTAGCACAAAAAAGGATTGAGACAACAAATAAGTTCGGGTTATCCCGAAAATAAAGAAAAATAAAAAATAAATAAAAATGGACGTGGAAGGAAAATTAAATTGAACTAGGATATTTTGCACATCTTTGTGATTTTATTGATAGAAAACGGAAAGAAATTAAAAATTAATTAGAAAAAAATTAATAAGAAATATTTAAAGATGGACAAAAAATAAAAAAGATGAGAATGTCAAAAATAAAAACACTTATTTGCTTTTAAAATTTTATTTTAACGCGTTTTTAATCCGTTTTTTTTTTGTTTTGCTTTTAAATTAGCATTCAAATAACAACAACAATTTATTTTTCCTTATAACTTTAATCGTCCCGATATATTTTTGAATTAAATGCCACAAAAAGGCAAAATAAATAAATAAAAAAATATGTTTTTTCTTTTTTTTTTAATTTATTAAATTTTCGCTATTATTAATAAAAAGTTCGTAACAAACGATGAAAAACGACTGAGCTAAAACATAGGATTCGCACAGTTTTTATATATACAAGAGAATGAGAAAATATGAGAGCGAGAGAAAGAGAGAGAGTAAAAAAGGAAAAAATAAAAGTTTTCTGTTTTGAAACCTGTCAAAAATTTTTTTTTTATTTATTTTTCTTATTTTTATTGTGGAAAAAGCTTTTTTTTACTTTATAAATTGAGAGTACTATAATGCACAATATCTTCATTATGATTTTAGATTTCTGTTTTTTTTTTTTTCATAAATTTATTTGGGTAGATGGTACATGGCACATGTGTATATTGCTTGTATATAATTAAATTCTATATAAAATATATTATTATGCTTGTTTCTATATCTCTGTGATTATTAAATAGTAAGAATAATGAAAATGTCAAAATTAAATACGCATAGGTAAAATGTTTATAACCGTTTTCAATACCGTTACGATGATTTGTGTTTGTGTGTGTTTGCTTAGTAGTGTTTATATACTATTTTTTTGCATATTTTGGGATTTATTACATATACATTTTGTTGTTATATTTTTTTTTCACGTGTTAACCTATATAATACGGAAAACAAGAAGTTCATTTCATTACAAATATATAATGAGCGGAGACAGAGCTTTTTTAAAATTTTTTGTTTTGGGGAAAAGTTTGTATATAATATACAGTTTTTGAAATAATAAGAAAAAAGGATGTTGCCATTTATGTTCAAATATAATTTTTTTGGCATTAAAATTTTAATGGAAAATTTTGTTAGAAAATGATTGATGAAGAAAAACCTGAAATAATTCAGAATAAAATTTTAAATTCTTTGTTGCTAAAAAAAATGTTTTTTTTTTTAATGTAAAGCAATTATTCATGAAAAGCGCTACAAAATTTTTTCAACTGCTTTAGGTAGTCCTTGTTTTAATAGATTGATTTATTTTAGAGCAACTAAGCAAAAGAAATTAGAAACTACATAGATACGAAAAGACAGGAGAATTGGTGTACCTCTGGTAGCTTTCTTAGATGCCATTGGCCGCGCGCTGCTCCTCCGATATACAAGATAGGTAACAGATTTGTAGAAACTAAAATTTGCAGATTGCGTCTAGGTCACACGCTGTTCACAAAAAAATATCTATTTGATAATACTAGTGCGTCGACTTGTTCCTTTTGTGGCAATATTTTGAATATTAAACATATTTTTTTGGAATGCTCTGTTACTAGGGATTATTTGAAGTCCTGCTCCAAAGATTTTCATGAAATTTTCCTTCCTATAACTGAGAATATCAATGTTATTAGGAGTATTTGTGACCTATTTAATATGTGGAATTTAATTTAATTCATACTTCCTGATACGAAGTATGTAAAGGTCATAATGCGCAAAAAAGTAAAATTAAAAATATTGAAATTGTAAACTAACATAGTATTAAGATAACAATATAAATATTGACATAAATTAATTTTGTTAACCCATAATGGCAGCCTAGGGTATTGATTGTATTATTATAATTTATTATATAATGTTATACAAATAAATAAGTAAAGAATTTATTTTTTATAATTTTCTTTATTATTAATCATTCTTAACAATAATTTTTATTTGTTTAAAAAAAAAAATTAATGAACGCTATTATATTTAATAGTTTGTACCTAATTCAATATAGCTGAATAAAACGTAAAAATAGTGTAATCCTGAAAGTATGCATTTTTTTTTCTAAAAATAATTTTTCAACAATTTTTCTGGAAATTACAAATTTGAAAATGCAGATACCAAGATTACTTTCATTATTATTATAAAAAAAAAAAAATCCGAAATTTTATCATTATAAAAAAGATTTAAAGCTAATACATATTTTGATATTAATTATTGGAAAAAAAAAACAAGTGATTTCTAGGTTCTTAAAGCTATAAAATCGAATCATTTGTTAAATAAGTTTAAGTAAAACGTTATATTCAATTCTCTATTTATTCTATTTTAAAGCACTAGCTCATTTATTAACTACATTATTTATAAAATAATTTCAAAAACGAATACGATGCAAATATGTAGTAGAATATAATATATAGTAAAATTAAAAATATATAAATTGGTTTGGCACCAAAATGAACTACTAAAATATTTGGAAATATCATGCTTAATTCTATCTTTCTATTTTTTTACTTCAATTGGAAGCATTTAGGACCTTCCACGTGTCAAGTTTTAGTTTCATCAGTGTTATTAATTACGAGTAGCTATACTAAGCAGGTTTAGCTAAACTGACTTTTTAAATTACTGACTTGATCAGGGTTCCATCATCCCAAAAAAGAAAAAATTTAAAAAAGACATTTTACATTTACTAATTACTCGTGTGAGATCTTATGATTTGTTGATTCTTTTCAATTTTTTTTCTTTGGAATTTACCGATTCGGAAAATTATCAAATAATTTTGTAAATTTCATTTTTCAAAAATGTTATTAAGAGCAGATGACTAAAGACAGATTATAAGGACAGATTTTCTAAAGCAAACAAAAAACGAAAAAAAATATCAATTAGAATTCTGAAAACTCGGTTTTTAACATAGCACAATACTGACCAAGGCAAGTAATTTCAATTAATAATTAAAAAATAAGCGAAAAGCGAATTTTTCTAATATTGACTCCCATCATTTTGGTTAGTCAACCAAAATCATTCAAAGCCCTACGATATTATTCATATCTTACAAAGAATAACAAAATTTTTAAATTCAGAAGTATGAAAATTAGAGAAAAAATTTTCAAAATTTTTTAATTTTGAATTTAATTTTTTCATATTTTGCACCTAAATTACTTAATACTAAAATTTTTAACGTCCCTATCTATATTAAGAATATTTGCTTTCTTACTTAACACTTACGATATTTGTTTTTCGATTTTTTCTTTTTTTTCGTTGTGTTAGATGCTATTGTTGTTGTTGTTGTTATTATGCAGTTATGTAGTTTACGCTTTTGCTATATAAAATTTTTTTTCTCTCTTTTGTTTTTTTATTATTGTGCTTTATTTTTATTTTTTGTGTAATAATTTTTTATGATTTGTTAGACCGGAACTTTCAACCAGTTTTGTTTTTCATTTGTTTTTTGTTTTTTTTTGTTTAATATAGTTCTATATCCTTTTTTTTTAGTATATTTTTTTATTATTTTGTTTATATTATATAGTTGCTTATAATATGTACACTTGTAAAAAAAATATAATGGAATACTTATGAATTATATGAGTATAAAAGAATTATTGCATACTTTATACATTTATAATACTTGAAGTGTAAGTAAAAATTGTGCAAAGACACAAAGCAGAAATAAACAAGAATTAAAAAAAAAACAATTGAGTAGGGTGGCCAATAAAATGGTTTTGTTGCCAGCTACTTGTTGTTTTTTTTAACGATTCAATTTTATTCGTGAGCCATATTAGAGGAAAAGCCATTAAGTATTTCATAAAATTTACGTAATTGAAAATTTGTCGTATAAATAATTAATTTTTTATAATTCCTTCATTTCATTTTATAATGTCTAAATTTTAAGGGTCTCAACTTATTAAAGTCTATAAATATAGAATTCATTTTTTAAGCTTGCATTCTATTTGAATGTCATCGAATGCAAAAGAAACAAAATTCAATATTTTCTTTTTAATAATAATGGCAAAAGATTTCATTTGCATTCAAGTTGGTATAAACTAGGTTAAAATGTCAAGTTCGATATTTTTATTTTTCGTTTTTTTTTTAATGAAATATACAAAATAATAACGAAGAAATGAGAGGAAAGAAACGAAAAAGAAATTATCTTTTAAGGATATTTTATATTTTATTTTTAATTTTTTTTCCTTTTGTAAAAACTTACATACATGAATATTTTAATTGTTGTATACAATAAATGTGTATAAGATATTGTGTATTCAAATGTACTATATGAGTATGTGAATTCAGATGCAAAATATTAACATATATACTTATATATTAATAAAATACACAAAATATAAAAATGTCTTTTCTTTAGAACATTTGCAGTAAAATTCGAAAATTCGAAAGGGCTTATTAATTTCATTCTGCCCGTTACTAGTTTAATCTTTTCACAAAGTGTACACAATCCTTATAATAGAAAGATGAAATTTTAAAAACAAACAGAACTCGACAATTAGAAACTTATTTCTCAAGATGAAGGTTTTTTACCCATCTTACTTCCTCCATAATTTGCGTTCATTTCAAGAGGCTCAATAGCAGTCTGAAATTTCGGTAATTAATTCCATTTGAAGAAAATTCTACCAAGATTTCAAATTGCTTTATCAAATTTTTATGTACGAAAAAAAGCTAATGACTCCTAATCTGAAATTTTAATTAAATATTTTAAATGACGCCCACTAACTATGTAAATTCTATTAAATTGTTAATCGGCTTCTTTTAATTTTTTTTTTCTTATCCTAAAAGTATGCAATTTTAAATTATATCAACATTCTTTAAAAAAACCTTTTTCACTTGAAAATGTGCTACTTTTCTAATCATTTGTTCAATTCAAATTTGTATTTATATTTTAATATTGTTAAAATAAGTTTTTATTTTTGCTTTTTGTTGGGTTCAAAACAGAAACTTATTATACTTATAACAAAGCAGAAATTTATTTTATATTTTTATGCATAACTGTATAATGCTCTTATATACTCTTGTGTATACATATTTGATATTTTTATGTTTTAACGTATATTTTGTGTATATTATTTTGTTTATGTATTGCAAATAGAATTAAAATAAACGTAACAACAAAATATGCATAATATTATATAAAGAGAGTAAGGGTCATCTGGTATTTTCATCTTATAATAATGTTATACAAATGGCGTATAACACTGATAAACATTATGGCTCTTAAACTCTTTCCCATATAATATAATAATAAAATATATATGTATATACTTTAAATATAAAATGTCCATACACTATCCGTCCGGTACAGATGTAGTAGTAAAATATAAATTTAATAATCTATAAAA